TACCTACATACATACATGCATGCATGCATGCATGCATACATACATATATACATACACACATACATACATACATACATACATACATACATACATACATACATACATACATACATACATACATACATACATATATACAGACAGACAGACAGACAGACAGACAGACAGACAGACAGACAGACAGACAGACAGACAGACAGACACACAAACAGACAGACAGACAGACATGCAGACATACAGACATACAGACATACAGACATACAGACATACAGACATACAGACATGCAGACATACAGACATACAAACATACAGACATACATACAGACATATAGCCTTACAGACATACAGACATACAGACATACAGATATACAGACACACACACACATACATGCACATATGCAAATACATATATAAACATAAACCTACACATGCACATACACGTATACATACACCGACACATACACCTACACATACACATACACATACATACATGCATGCATACATACATACATGCATGCATGCATAACATACACATACACATACATACACTGTATACACACACGGAAAAGATGGACAGGAATGTCCAACAGCAAAGATTGTCCCAAACCGAGGGTGGCCGACGCTGCGCACCCGACATCATGCCCCAAGTTGGCAACGTCCGCGGCGGCACCGGCAACGAGTCCTTTCCAAGATGGTCGGGAGCAGATGTGGGCCTTCGCCCCTCTGCTTCCTGTGCCCCAGGCTGCTGCTGCGCACGCTCCCCCACCACTCGGCCCGACGGCCCGCCCTGGCCCCCCTACGCGCCGACCGAGCTCGCCCCCGAGCACGATTCCAACCCCTCAGCGCCCCGCGAAGGACGGCCCAAATCGGGCATTGGCAGAACTGGGTCTAGCGGGACCTGGTTAAGGGATGTGTACTGGGGGACGGCCCCCCCCCCCGCCCCGTTCCACTGACCGGAACTGCCGTCGCCCGAAAAGCACCAGCTACGGCAGACCTGGTTCAGTGATTCCAGTGCAGATTCTGGGCTTCGGGGCCCGCTCACTAAGCGGCTCCCCTTGACGGGAGTCCTGGCTATACCCGACCATATTCTTACTTACCCCCCCCCCGCGCGCGATCCATCTCCCCGGCGCCTATGGAACCAACTCGGAGTACGCCTTCGGACCTCACGGGCAGGAGGGCGCAGGAGACGGCCCCGGGATCCGCCCAGACTGCCCCAGACACGGCTCGGCGGGGGCTGCTCCGGGAGGCCCCGGCAGGACCTTCGCGCGCAGAACGGCCCAGGGACAGCCCAACAGGCCCCCTTGGCCCCCCCCCCCCAGAAACCCTCAAGAGGCCTCAGAGGACCCAGCATGCCCCCAAAACCTAGAGCCGCCAGGACGCGGCACATCCCGCAGGGTTTATCCTGTCAGCCCGCAGGAGTTTCAGCGCACAGCGCCTCGTAAACCAGGGTAGGGGCGTTTTTTATGCCCTTGACTGGAAGCCCTCAACCTCAAGAGGCTTCCGACGAGGCCCCACCAGGCCCCAAAGTCTGCCCACAAGAGGAGGCTCCGAAGATGCCTCCCGCCGCGAGCAAGGCCACCGGCGGGCGACGACCACCACGCCCCTGGCACGCGCCAGTCGCTGGTCGCCGGGCGTGGGAGGGGCGAGACAGCGCACAACATCGCACCACTTCGCGCTCGCACGCGTCACAGAACCTCGGCGTCCTCGATAGCCCTCGCCAACGAACCGACCCGTGCGGCGCACGGCGGCCACTGCGCCCCACCGCCGCGCAAGCCCCGCGGACGCGGCCCCCGCGCGGGCGCGCCGCGCCCTTGCGCTGCGCCGCGCCGCGGGGACGTGCGTTCTCGGCTGCGGGGCCCAAAAATAGACGGCCAGAGAAGCACCGTCGGCGTCCTCGATAGTGACGGGAAGCTGCTGCAGACAGCGACGAGTGGTGGCGGTCACGACCACGACAGGGAGGCTCTCGATAGAGTCTTTCGAACTGCTGGGAGGTGCTGGAGTCGGACGTCCATACGTATGTGGCCCACGAACGTGCGGAGCTGCACCCCAAGTGGGGAAGAGGAAGGGGAGAGGGGGAGGGGGGGAGTGGGCAGGCGGGGGGAAGGAGGGGGAGTGAGGAGTGGAATGGGAAAGTGGGAGGAGAGGGGAGAGAGATGATAAGGGAGGGTAGTCAGGATGAGAAGGGGGGCGGATGGTGGGCGAGGAGGAAGGGGGAGGGGAGAGGAAAGGTGGAAGGGGAGGGGGATGGGGGGGAGTGGAAGAGGGGGCGAAATAATTCTCTCGGTGGGCTCAAGTTCTTGCTGAGGCGGAGGGGGCCTGTTCTTGAACTACGAAGATACATGCACTTACACATGAACGCTCGGACAGCGTTCACACAAGCAGCACGGCACATCTCTGCACTACCGGGTGGATCTTAGCACGATTAGGCCCCTCATGATCTTGAGCGCATCGCCTGTGGGTCCCTCGGGCGTGATTCCGAAAACGTCCATCACTGAGCTGTACGAGGAAGGGGACTCGTCGATGATGCGCAGCAGCGAGTCGATCGCGGGGCCGCCCAGCTTCTTGGCGGCGACCACGGAGCCGTAGGCCTGCGAGAGGCCGAGAGTGTCCAACCACTCGACGACCTCCTTCGGGAGCGGAGGAGGAGGCGGAGGAGGAGGAGGAGGAGGAGGAGGCGGAGGTGGAGGAGGAGGAGGAGGAGGAGGAGGAGGAGGAGGAAGAGGAGGAGGAGGAGGAGGAGGAGGAAGGGCCTCTTTTCCGCCCCCGACTCCTGCTCGGACCACTGCGCGGCCGCATACCCCCCCGGCGGGCCGACCCCGCAGTGCCCGGCGTGCTCGGCACCCGGCAGCAGGCCCTCCGCGGTCTTGCAGCTGAACGGGTACCAGAGGACGCCGTACTCCTGCCCGGGGTAGCAGCACGGGCGCCGCTCCGTGTCGCCCGAGGGCACTGGGGCAAAGACAAATCGGCTCTGCGCCCTCGCTTGGTAGATCTTCCTGCCCACGCCCTCGTGCGCACCCTCGACGACTGTCCACTCCCATTGCCAGACGTCAACTCCTAATGTCGAGATGGAATCGGCCTCAGGCACTCCTGCGGGGATCTGGCTCGGGATAGACAACGAGAACGAAAGAGTCTCGGTGATGGACTCGTCCCACGATGTTCCTTGGGTCACACCCCTTGCGACGCTGGTAGACTCCGTGTTCGTCTCACCACCGCACGTACTGAGACCCATGGAAGATGAGAAGCCAACGGTGCCAGAGACTCCTGCAGAAGCTAGACCCATCAAACTTGCCGACTGAGTTATGGTTGTGCTGATCGAGGCTGTGAACGAGGCCGAGGCGCACGTCTTGAGGTCGACGGCCCTTGACCGCGCCGACTGCTGTGTCTCTCCTTCGGAGGCGGAAGTGCCCGTGGAAGCTCTGTACCCGTAGCTGACCGTCACGTCCTGGCCAGCGGCCAGCGAAGCGATCTTCACCCACTCGCCGTGGATTGCGTTTTTCAGGAGTGGCTCCCCATCTGGCCCAATAACAGTTTCCCTCACGAAGGGTACCTCCTGCGCCTCAGCTTGCGCCGCGCACACAGCGCAGCCAACCTCAACGTTGTGGGGGTACTTTTCCTCGTCTGAGGAACCCTGCTCCATCTCAGTCGTGTACAGGAGGCCCCCGTTCTGGTCGCCGCCGTTTGAGCCTGGTATCGTTTGCCTCCCGGAATCGACACATATGAACTCTCCTTTGTTATGGTTGTATCTCTCAGCCATGACGAACCCAGTATACAATGTGATGTGTCCGTTCGTGCAGGTCGTACTCCGCCCCCACTGCGTGTAGACTGACTCCCAATGATCGAGTTCGCAGACAGCACATGCAGCCTCGTGGTCGTGGTTGGCATCAATCGCTCCAGTGTTCTGGTACTCCATCGTGTACAGCAAGTTGCCGTTCTGGTTGTTCGCTGAATATCCAGAGGGGGCCTGTATATGCGGATGCACGCATACTGTGTTCGCCCCGCCCCCACGGTGGGTATAGTGCTCGGCCATCATTGTCCCCTGATACAACAGCGAGCTGCTGCCGGTTGGGCATGAGCGGGAGCCCCACCTGGTAAAGACCGACTTGCCAACACTTCCACCGCACGATGAGCAGCCCACTTCGTGATTGTGACTCCCACCGAAATTCTCAAACTCAGTGGTGTACAGGAGGGCCCCGTTATTATCAGCCCAGCTTGACTGTGGATGTATCTCACGGTCAGTGTGAACGCACACGTGTGCGCCTCTGTGCTGGGTGTAGTGGTTTCCCATTACATAACCCTGGTATACCGTGGGGTGCGAGTTGCTGCAAGAACTGCTGCGCCCCCACTGCACGTATACGTCCATCGCCTCGGAAAGGTAGCGGCAGACTGCGCAGGCCGCGTCTCCATCATGATTATGGTCTATGGCCCCTGTATTCTGGTACTCCGTGCCGTACAGGAGAGCGCCGTTTTGGTTTCCGTCGCTGTACCCGCTCGGAGGATTCGGATTACTCGTGGTCAAACAAACGTAATTTGCACCAGAGCCACCGTGATCGTGGTGGCCCGCTGCCATGAAACCCGCGTAAACGAGCTGTGCGGATGATGGGCACTGCTTCTTCCCCCACACCGTGAAAACAGTGGTCTCCGACGCTGTCGTGACGGTCACCACTCCCTCGGAGCTCACGCTTTTGGCAGGAACGCCGCACACTGTACAGCCCACCTCGCGATCATGTGGATACGCATATTCGTCTGCTGAACCGTGCTCCACTTCCGTCGTGTACAGAAGACCTCCATTGTGGTTATCGTCCGACTGATCTGCTTCGCCAACATAGGCACGCTCGAGGTCCACGCAGATAAACTCGCCCTTCTTATGGTCGTATTTTTCGCTCATGATGAGGCCAGTGTAAATCATCTCGTGCGCTGGGTTCCCACACATCTTCGGCGTGGACGGGTTGTCGCGCGACTCGGCGTTGCCCCACTCGACGTAAACCGATCCGCCAGCGCTCCACTGGCAGACGGCGCAAGCAGCGTCGTAGTCGTGGTGCCTGTCAATGGCACCTGTGTTCTCATACTCCACGCCGTACAAGAGGGCGCCATCGTTGTTGGCTGCGTCGTGGCCGGAGGGCAGCTGGGGGCTGGGGTGCATGCACAGCATGTTGTACCCGCTGCCAGAATGCGAGTAGTGGGAAGTGGACATGAAGCCCGAATAGATCAGCTTGGACCCTGTTGGACACGTCTTGGAGCCCCATCGCGTGTACACCGCCCGGCGCCGCAGGGTCGTGGGTGCGGCGCTCAAGCGCCGCGGCTCGGCGTTCGCGGCTCCCCCCTGCTGTTCGGATGGGCCCCGCTGCTTCTGATCCTCACGATCGAGGCCGAGCCTGCGGCGCTCGCCACTGCTCGCGCCCGACATCGTGCCATGGATGGCGCGTTCCTCCTGCAATTCGGACACCATCTGGCCCAAGGCGAGCAAGTCCCTGGCCAGCTTGTCCGCCTCCTGGCTTGTGAGCGCCTCTGGCTCGCTGTCGAGTGTGGTCTTGAGCTTCCCCGGCAAGAGAAGGACGGGCACCGAAGCCACGAGGAAAGCGACGGCGACCATGCGTTTGATGTGCTCGGTCATTGTTGTACCTGGCCTCTATCAAATGAAGACAAGTCTGGTATGCACCGAAAGCCCGTCGGGGCCTCAAAAACGACTAGCTCAGAAGCCGGGCAGATTCGGCGCTTGGGCCAGCATGGTCGCGGGATGTAAGTGATGACGAGGATGCTGGTAACAACAAGCACGCAGACGATGTTGTCCTGACGCGGCACTCAGAACGAATAAAACGATAACTGGTGTCGAAAATTGGCGCGCTCTCGCGCGACTCTATGTCCAGGGCCCTCTGTTCTCGCAGGCGCAAATACGACGAAACCAGGACGAGAACAAAACCGGATCGGGACAACTCGGGGATATCTGACCAGCGGTTCTGGAGGATGTATCGGGCGCCGCAGCTGTTCAAGAGCGCTCTGGAACGCTGTTGTAGCGTTCTGGAGCAGTCTGAAGCGGTCTATCCCGATCCTCCTCCTCCTCCTCCTCCTCCGCCTTCTCCTCCTCCTCCTCCTCCGCCTCCTCCTCCTCCTCCGCCTCCTCCTCCTCCTCCTCCTCCTCCTCCGCCTCCTCTGAGGGTGATCAATGAACCCATGGAACACGCTACGTTGGCGCCGACTGGTCTCGAAGGGCTGCAGGGCCTGGTGGGTCTGCCCTGCGCTGCACGAGGCAGCGGACCGGCAGACTGGAGCGCACAAGGTTCACCAGGGTGCAACATACAGTAGGGTTAGGTCGGGCCTGTCCCCCTAAAGGGGGATTTTGGGCGAAGCATATGTTTGATAATATATATATATATATATGTATATATATACATATATATGTACAAACAAAAATCATCATTTAATTAAAAAACAAAAAAAACAATGCTCAAAATTACTCAAAAATCGTCCCCATATGATTGTTTTACTATTTACTGTTTTTGAATGTCCCCCCTGTAAAGGGACAGGCCCGACTTCACAGTAGGGGCCAGACCACAAGAAACCTTCCACAAGAAACCCAACCCTGCAACCCCAGGACGTCCAGTGGTCCTTGGTGTGGGAACGTCGCGCCTTCCATCGCAGAACCATCGAAACCCGAGAAACCCAGGGCACCCTGAAGGCAAGCAGGGTGTTTCTTGGCATGGGTCTCCACTGTAGTGGAATGCAAGACTAGCATGACGAAAGGAAGGAAATAGGACAGGACGAGGAAGAAAAGGGGCTGCCGAGGAGGAGAACGGCGAGAGTGGCAAAGGAGGACGAGGGAGAAGGAGGAGGAGGAGGCGGAGATAATGAAATCGAGCTGGCAAAGGTCGACAGTCGTGGGGGAGACCGCGGGGGCAGGCCTTCTCAAAGGCGGCGGGGTTTCCCAGAGGCCCCCTGGCCTTCTGAAAATCTCCTGCGGCCTCGAAGACCCGCCGTCGCTCGGCCGTCCACTCCGCGTGCACGCTTGGGCTTCGCGCGCGCATTCTTCGCAAGATGACCCAGGGCCCCAGGATGCTCCTCGAAGGGCCCTCGCCGACAAAATGGCGTTCTGGGCCTGGGTTCTTAGGCCTCGCCGGCACCCCCCACCACGCCCCCGCCGCGCCCGACACCACCAGCCCCCCTGGCGTCCTGGGCCTAGGCTCTTCGGGGCCACCCACCCTGCAAAGACGAGCGATGCCAAGGAGACGGCGTCGAAAGCCTCTCTGAGGCCAGAGACCTCCTGAGCCTTCTGGGAACTCGCCATCGCTCGGACGTCCATTCCCTGTGTTTTTGGGGATTTCGTGCGTGGTTCTTTCGCCAAACGATCAAGGATGCTCCTCGATGGTCCTCGCCGAAGAAAAAATGCACACGTCCGAGCGATGCCAAGGGAAAGCCCACCCCCTCTGCCTCCGCCCCTGGGCGCGCCACCGACGATCGGGGGACAAGGAGCATGTCTCGAGTAGGGCATCGACCACATGGCGATTTACCCCAAAACTGAGTTCTCGTCGAGCGCATCGGAAAAACACGTAAAACGGTCCGCAGATCTGCGGAGCGATGTTTTTGCGCACGCTTCGCAGATTCAACGGGAAATCAATTTGGGGGAAAATCGCTTATGTGGTCGATCTCCTACGCACTCGAGTGTCGAACGCCGGCCGAAGTCTCGGTCGACTCCACTCAGATCGAGACGGCGCGGCCGCCGACTCGACAAATCGTCATTATATTTATGTTAATCAACCTATTGCTTGAGAACAAAACAACAACAAACAAACAAAACAAAAACAAAAAAAAAAAAAAAAAAAAAAAAAAAAAAAACGTCCCAGAGTATGGTTTGATTATTTTTGAATATTCCTCATCCTGTAACAAGACACGCCCGACTGAATCGTGGCCCCCGCCTCCCCAAGCGTTCGATCCGTGCATGTCCCAACCCCTTTCCAGGGCGGCCGGTTCTTCATCCTGCGTCGCTCCACGGTGAAAGTCCCGGGGACCAGCGCGGGCCCCCTGAAGCCGAAAAGGAAAAGAGCAACAACAACAACAACAACAACAACAACAACAACAATTACTAGAACGTGGGGACACACCGTTCTCACCAGTGCCAGGGTTTTCATAGGAGGCGGGCAATACCCCCACTTTGTGGGGGGGGCCGGTTCAAGCTCTACCAAATTTCCAAACGACTCTTCGCCACCACCCACACCCAGCTTCCCGCCCTATGACGTTCGGACACTTCACTTCGTGGCATGCGGACGACCGTGGCTACTATTCAGGGCCCCGCGGCCGACGACGACGGCGTGCGCGCGCGAAGAAAAAACGAATGTGTCCCGCATGGTATTATTTGACAGGGATGATGGCCCTGGCAGGTGCGCAACCGTTGTTGCAGAAGTTCGAAAAAGTTGCTCGCAAAAGCCCGTTTGACAGAAATGATTAAAAAGTGTTGGGTTTCCTACGAATCCGCAAGAGCGCGCGGGATGAAAGTTTGACAATTTTTTTTTGAAAAACCATTGGTTTTTTGATGTTTTTATGTTAAAATCGCTACGACAACTAAGGTTTTGGAAGGATTTCGTCTTGCGCGCGCGAATGTCCACTTTACCTTATTTTTTGCAAGGGATTCTTGAAGTTTGGTTATGTTAGAACAAGAAATGTCCACTTTAGCTTATTTTTTGCAAGGGAAAACCGATCGTAACAACACAACCGGATCCGGACTCCCCCGTTTTGCCTGAGACTTCCTCACGAAAATGATGAAAATGAGGCTGCGGCCTAGGCGCGGCGGGGGGGTCGTGCACCAGGGGTCCCAACAATAATTATTCTTTAGAAGTAATAATGTTCAACAAAAATCCGCCACCAGTTTCTCGAGACGTTAGAGGTCTGGGTCGGCGGCGTCGAGAGCTCGGCGTCGAGAGCAGGTCTGGGTCGGCGTTGGAGGTCTGGGTCGGCGTCGAGAGCTCGGCGTCGAGAGCTCGGCTCTGCGTTGGAGGTCTGGGTCGGCGGCGCCGGTGAGCAGCGTCGGCGTCGAGAGCTCGGGCCCGTGCGCGCGTGCTTCCCGCTGCCCTGGCGACAGCAGACCCAAGTATCCCCAGTAGTTTTTGTTGTTCCACCCCCCACGGCAAATCCGCTTCCCCTCGTGGGGGCTATACTTAAGTCGGGCGTGTCCCCCTACAGGGGGATGTTCGACTCCAAAAATGCTCCAAAATGGTCAAAAAGTAATCAAAAAATAGTCCCCAGACTATTTTGTGACTATTTTCGAACATGCCCACTGTAGAGAGAGGTACAGGCCCGATTTAAGGCTATACCAGTCCACAGCAAAGAGCGAGCGTGCTCGATTGCCCGGCCGCCAGTATCCACCAGTGGTGCTTGCTCTGGCCTGGGAGGGCACCAGAGCGGCGCGAGCAGCGGACGGCGCTGTCTGCGACTGGGCGTGCACGTTCGGCGACACCCTCCTGCAGAAGCACCTCCAGGGAAAGAGAACGATGACCGTGACCAAGACAGGACGCCTGAGCGTGGAAACGTCGGCGCCAATTTTCGTCACCGTCGATTCGCGGATCATTCTCGGCAAGGACCATGACTAAGATCGGCGTCGACCAAATCCCGCGACATCTTGGTCATGGTCAGCGTGTTTCTTGCCTCGAACCCTTCCGGTTTCGTTACCATCCTGGGCGAAGTTGCTATCAGTTTGGCTTAGTGGGCAACGGCGTTGAGATAATCGCGCCTTTTGCCTGCGCCAGCATCGCCATCTTGAAGACAGCTGCCCTTGACAACTGAACCGACGTCCCCCAGCGCAGTTTTCAGTCGGGGGGGCGCACTGGCCAGGTAGCGCACGGATCCAGCGTGTTTTTGCTCCTGCGGTTTGTCATTGATCTCTCGCCAATGGCTCTTATGTTTGATTACCTCTGAACTGGAGCCTGGTTAGGTAACACCAGTCATCCATCAACACTCACCATATCGCGCGCACTCGCAGCCCCCTCCCCCCTCCCGCTGCGGCCAGGCACTGCACAAGACCACAACATGTGTATATATATATATACATATATACATATATATATATATATACATATATATACATATATATATATTACACCTGAGAAAACCCAATCAGTGGTTGATTTGAAAATTAATACTATGGGTCTTGAGATCGATTGTGAGATCGATAGCGAAATCAATAGTGAGGACGATTGTAAGGTCGACCGTGAGACCGAGAGTGAAATCGATTCAATGAGATCGATAGTGAGATCGATCGCGAGATCGCTAATGCGATCTCTAGTGAGATCGCTTGTGAGATCGATAGTGAGATCGATTGTGAAATCGGTGGTGAGATCGATAGAGAAGTGGGTAATGAGATCGATTGTGAGACCGATCGATAAGAAAAGCGACCAAGAACCCAGGAACCCAGGAACCTCGCCGCCCTCCGAAATCGGCCCGGAAGCCGGAACTGGGAACCCGGCAACCCAGAACCGGGAACCCGGGAACCCAGCGTGCGACCAAAGTCGGCGGGACACGTTCGCCAAATCCGTCAACTTCCGCGAGGACCTCTTCAGTGCAGGCACTGACTGGGGAAAATATGCATGTAGCCAAGCTGTGCCCACAGATCGCTCGCGGTGGGGCCCC